TCATAAAATTCCATTTCGCCATTTCAGGCTTATGTTCAAACTCTCTTCTGTTGAATATGCAGTGTTATTGTGGTCCAATCTTGCCGTTTAAATTCTGGAAGTTAACATTCAATGTTATTATTGATATTTCTTGTCCCTAGCATTAAATTGGTCATTTTCTTAGATGCCTTTTATTCTCTTATTTCTGTATTTAGTTTTCCTGGTCGAGCACTGCTTTCAGAACTTCTTGTAGAGTGGGTCTGCAATTGACAAATTCTTTCAGGTCTTGTTTATCTGAAAAGGTTTTTATCCTTTCTTTCCATATAGAAGATAATCTTGCTGATACAGTATTCTTGGTTGAAACTGTTTTTCACTTAACATTTTGAATATATTTTCCCATTCTTTCCTTGCTCGCATTGTTTCTGATGAGAGGTCTGAGGTTAGCTTGGTGGGATTACCTTTACAAGTAACCTGATGTTTCTTTCTTGCCAATTTTAGTATCTTGGCTGTGTATATTTAGCCAGTCTGGCTATGATGTGCCTTGAAGAAGATCTTCTTGGGTTGATTCTATTAGGGGTCCTTTGTATTTCCTGGGTCTGGACATTTGAATTCCTCTCTAGATTTGGAAAGTTTTATTCCAAGATTTCATGAAATAGATAGTCAATGGCCTTATTAGTTTCCTCACCTTCTGGGATACTGATTATCTGGATGTTTTGTGCTTAATGCTGTCTAGTATTTTTCATATAGTATTCTCATTTTGGGAGGTTATTTTCACAGTTTTTTGGTTGTTTTTTCTAGATCAGAGGTTTTACCTTCAACATCTGAGATTCAATTTTCTGCATGAACTAATCCTTTAATACTTTCAAGGGAGATATTGATTTCAAGAATGGCAGCATCCATCTCTAATAGCTCCATTTGATTCTTTTTATATGGTGTGTATTTCAACTTTCGTATCATGGAAGAATTTCAACACCTTGAACTCGTCTCTTTTCTTCTACATCTTCTGGAGTTCATTATCTCTCAGCTCTTGCATCTTGTTTAGTTTTGTCACTATGAACATTCTGAATTCTCTATCACATATTTCCATGAGTTCTACTGTACTGTCTTTGGATGATGAGGGACTGTTCTTTTCCCTTAGGGGAGAAATATTTTCTTAATTTCTCATGTTTCATATCCCTCTACAGTTGTTTCTGGTCATTGTGTGACAAAATCTTTCTTCTACTTCTCTGAATATTTTGGGAGTTTAGAAGATGGGGTTTAGAGCATAGCCTCCCTGAATAGGCCAGACAACACCTCAGCTTTAAAATGGCTTCTTGTCTTAATATTTTGGGAGTCTCAGAGTTGGCTATTATAGATTCTCAGTCAAAATCCTTAGGCAAAGGTGGGGGACTTCTTTTATGGGAAAGAAGGAGAATTCTGGGAATTTAATGTTCCTAGCTTTTCTGAGATCTGCCCATATGTTTTTATTCTGTTATTTATGATATATACCATTCCAATCGATACCAAATTTGAGAACTTAGTTTGTATTACATATTTTAGTAAATTGCTGTAAGTCTGTTTTTTGTTTAGTTTTTAGCTCTATGAGTACTAAAGGTAAATGTTTCTTTCAGGGAAGATAAAGAAGCTTATAGGGCATTAATATAAAACTTGAGCTGAAAAATTTGATGTCCTGGGATACTTGTCTTTTGATTTTTATTTTAGCACAATTAGGAGTAATAAAAAAAGTCCCTTTATATATAGTTTCTTACTTTAACTAAATGTTCTATATAATAAATTCATGGTCTACCAGAACCTTATCATATGTAAGAATTTGACTATTTGATGGCAATATTTTGTCTATCTTTATTGCCACTTCAGGTTATGTACTATGGTTACTGCTTTATCATGGAAAAAATAGTCATTAATGCCTTTAGTTTTAATAAGAGTAGATTACACCAATTTCATAAGACCCAGAAGCAATTCAGAAACTCATTCTTAGGATGTTAGTCTTCTAAAACAACTTCTAATACTATAATCAGTGTCAGTCATACATTTAATTAGTAAAACAGAACTCCTAGGAGATACACATTAAAGAAAATATAACAAGGAATTTTTTTTATATGAAGAAAAGTACAGCTTTATTGCAAAGCAAGGAGAGTGGGAAGCTCATACTGAAAAGACCTGGTCTCCCCACGATGTTACCCACATGCATTTTTTGTTTGTTCATTTGTTTGTTTTTCTTTCTTTTTTTTTTTGAGAGGTTTTTGCTACAGGGCGTTTGTGCTCTCCAGAGAGACAGAGAGAGAGACAGAGAGACATAAAGCGAGAAATCAACCCCCAGGAGGGATGGCCATGCTGCAGTCCCTTCTCCTCCATTTTCCTCTCGGGATCTTGGACACGCAAGCACATGCACCCGGCGTGAGTTTAAGCCACTGGATCTGGGACTCGAACCATGGTTGACTACATGTGAGTCTAATGACATAGCCATTATGCTAACTGCTGGTCCCCCCACATGCATTTTTAAGGACAAAATTAGGGGCAGAGGTCCCAGGTACATGACCAGTTCAGTGATTGTTCCAAAAGGACATGATCATCTCGTGGGCATTCTTGATTGGTTAGGCCTTAGATAATGAAATTTCTCTTCAGGTTTCTGGAGCCATTCAGCCTGGAGTCTTTGAGCTCACATCCAGCAGTTTCCATTCTACAAAACATCTTACATATTGAAATTTAAAACTTATCTCTCCTTCATGAGAGAGTTTTAGAGGTCAAATGGCCCTCATTCATGGTCCATGTTGGTCATTATCATAACCAAAGTCTGAAGACTTACTCCTTACTCTGGGCTATTACAATGTAAATGGACCTTATATTTCAAGAACCTTAGAAAATATACTAGAGTGTCCTTGTTGGGTTTCAAAAGGATTTTTTTTTTTTTTGAAATTGGAACTGGCTAGGCAGGTTGGAAATTTATAGGTCAGATAGTCATAAAAGGCAGACTTGAATTTACTGACAGAAGCTGCTACCTATAGGCAGACTGTCTTCTTCAGGGTAGCCTCAACTCTGCTTTTAAACCTTTCAACTGGTTGAATCAGGCCTACCTAGATTATCTAAAATAATCTCTCTTACTTAAAATCAACTGATTATAAATCTGAATCATATCAACAGAATATTTTTAAACTTATATTAGTAATTAATTAAATAACTGGGGACTACAACCTAACCAAGTTAACATATAAAAAGAACATCACAGCCACCAACTCATTTTTTTCTATCTGTATATCCAGTTGTCCTAGCACAATTGATGGAAAAATATTTCTCCTCCTTTGCACTGTATTGACAATTGATCATAAATTTGGGAGTTTATTTCTAGACTCTTAATTATACTCCATTCATCTTAATGTTTATTATTATGAAATTGCCACACTAGTTTGATTACTATAGTTTTGTAATAGGTTTTAGAATCTAGAAATGTGATTCCAACTTTTTAAAAAAAAATGTATGATCGAGAGTATGTGCATGAGAGAGAGAGAGAATGAGAGAGAAGCACAGCTGACAAAGTCTTATGTCATCACCCCCTTTTCCCAGGCCTCAAGCTTATCAAGATGTTGGGTATGTATACACACTTATGTGTCTTCCAGCACTGAGGTTCAGTTTTCTATGAACTACAACACCTTGTTCAGCTGTAGCTTTGTTTGTTTAAGCAGTGTGTTTTAGTATTTTGGATTCTTTGAATTTTCATAAAAATTTTAGCAAGTGTTTGTTAATTTCTGAAAATAAAACAGTGGTGGTTTGGACATGCATTCTATTTAATCCTGTGGAAGGCCATGTATTAGATTTTATACATAAGTAACTGTCTATTTTTTAAAATTTTTATATGGCTTTCTGTTTTTGTAAACCTGTTTTTATGAAAAAATAGTTTGTTTTAGTCATATAGAAAACTGTATTTGGGGGGATGTTTCATACTTGTTATTGTCTTTGTTAACTAGCCCAAAATCCTTTTGTTATATATAACTCAAGTAAGTTTCATTTTGAATTTTTCACTGTTACAAATAGAAATACAATAGCATTTGTATACTGATCTCAGGGTTTTTAATGAGAAAAAAATCTGAAATAAATTAGGTTATGACTTTTATCTCTGCTAAATTGCTCCTTGCTCTGGAAAGAATGATAAATATTTTTCATTACTTAATGCCTTAGGATGAATTGTTTTTCTTCAAAATAGTCTTTAATAAGCTAAGGATAGTGAGAAATCATGACCATTGGGGTTAGAATAAGAATGATTGTACTACTAAAAACAAGAAAAGGAATACTGGGAAAGAAAGTATGATAGACATAAAATCATCCTGGTTACTCTCTCTAGCTTGAAACCCAGGACCGTTTTAACATTCCATGTATGTGATGTTATGTTTTACAAGAATCAGTGTCTATACATCCATAATCTTTACTTAATACAATGGGATGTTTAATTCTATTGGGTGGTGAAAATGCTGTTACATATTCCCAGAAGATAGCATTCCAGGTCAGGATGGTGGTACTCTTGCATTGACTCCCTAGATACAACCTCTTGAGTGAACAAGATAATCAAAAGGTAATCAACATATCCACAAGTCTTTTGTTAACACCTACTCTGTGTCTGATATGACAACATCCAGACTTGGGATAGAATGCAGATTACTAGATGGGAAATAATTATAGAAAAATTTGAATTGAAAATTAAATATTAAGTAATGAAGTATAGTGGAAAGATTAAATCACTATAATTATAAGACCTAGATTCTTGACCTGAATTTGTCTGGCCTTTTCTATGTACCTTTGGGCATGGCTCTTCACTTTCTGAGCTTCCAATTACTCATTGGTAGTCCAAAAGTTATAGACTAAACAATTACTGTCTTTTCTTTCAGAACTGTAATTTTTTATTACTGCTACCTTTAGATGAAGAAATACTAAGCGAAATGGAACAAAAGAAACTTAACAACAAAAATTTAATATGTGACAATGCCATGTTATTAAATAGATGTAGATATATTACATAACTCTTGCATATACGAAAGTCGAAAACTATTCCAGCCACAGAGATTATTCTGTTTATCCCACCAATCATATTATTGCTTTTTTTGTAGTTTCCTATAACACTTTGCCCAATGCTGCATAACTTAACCAATTGATCTTTTGGAAGGACAGACCACAGGCCCAGGTAATTGCTAAATAATAATGATGATTACTGATAGCCATGAACTTTGTTATTTTTGTTTTTAAAATAAGGAAACTAAGGAACATTGCGTATGAAGTACTTGTCCCCAATTAGTATGTGAAAGAGCCAGTATCCAAACTCAAGCAGTTTTACAAAAAAAAGTCCATTTTTTTCCACTGTGTTATATTACCAATGAAGTGTTACATGTTTAATTCCTTAGTAGACTATATTTGGCCATTCTTGTGGGCTGAGACACACAGGGCAGTTGGCCTAGAGTGAGAAGAAAACATTTTATTTCACTGTAACAAGCCTGAGCTACTTATCGTTATATCTTCTAGCAGACATGGTCAAGAAGAAATGAAGAATTTAGTTACCAGAGGGCTGTTGGATTCTGAATGGACCACACAGATTTTGCTAGAGTCACTAATTTTCTTGACTGGATCTTAACTTATTCTTCAAGATCACCAGCCTTAGTGTAAATGATTACAGAAATAATACAGCAGAATATAGATGGTATAGTCCTTGGTGTTACCATTAGCAACAAGCCATAAGCTTTATAGCAGAACTAGATTTACATATAAATTCAATAGCTATGATTTGAGGGGTGCAAATTCCCCAGAGTACATTTTAGTTGAGCTCTTTTGTTTGAAATTCCACTATTCAATTTAAATTTATTTTCTTTAATGTTTTCTTCTTAAGCTCAAATATCTTTGTAGGAAATATTACTTTAGGCAATAACCAGTGACTAACATTTCAGTGTTGATTGGTTCATTCTATTATTGATTTTACTGCTAAAAATAACTGCATCAGTAAGGCTGTGAAAGGACAGAGCTGGTGGGATGGCATTCAAAGAAGCCTTTATTAAGCTGTGACATAAATGGAAAAAACTTTAACTTTATTTATTTATTTATTTATTGGAGAGGTTTTTGCTACAGGGTGTGTGTGCTCGCCCAAAAGACAGAGATAGAAAGCGAGAAATCACCCTGCCCCCTCCCAGGAGGGATGGCAATCCCTTCCCTTCCATTCTCCTCTCAGAATCTTGGGCACGCACGCACATGCGCTTGGTGTGAGTTTAAGCCACCGGGTCCAGGACTCAAACCACGGTCGGCTACATTGGAGTCCAGCGACATAGCCATTACGCCAACTGCTGGTCCCACATAAATGGAAATTTGATATATGGGTAGGACTTTTTGCATAGAAAAGATGAGGTGGATATAATACAAGATTGAAAATTTCAAGAGTAGAGATCATGTCTGTACCCTGTCTTATCATCAGTACCTAGAACAAGGTTTAGTATATACATGCAAAATGTTTAATTAATTAGTACTTCCTATATTTGGAGAGAAGGCTATGTTCTAAGGCCAAGATAAGGATAGTTCTGCACTGGGAGTAATATGAAAACAAATAACTAAGGGAGGGGTCCTAAGTTCTGTATGGACACCAATGAAACACTTTAACAGGTGGGGGATGGCAGCAAAGGCTAAATTAGTGTAGTCAAAAAATCCTGTTGATTTCCATCTGTCTTGCTCACTGAACAACTCCTGCTCCATGCCTTCCCTTACCACTAGTGCACTTGGTTTTGGGTAGGTCCACTCACATGAAGTAGAAAGATTGTTAGAGTGAGTGGGCTGATTTCTAGCCATATTTCATGAATGTGAAAATTCAGGTGATTGTTTTTATTTTATGTGGTAAAATGCCTCCATCTATGGGGCCAATGAGGCAGTTCTTATATAAGTAGATATCTTAGTTCTGTCATTTAAACCTTTCTGAGAAAATAATCCTCTTTCTCTTGGGGTTAAGATATGGTGTAGTTCTTAGACTGATGGACTCCCACATGGTCTACTGAGGTTCAAGTCCCAGGCTTGGTAGCTTGAATCTTATGCTGGAACATATGCATGTATGTCCAAGATCCTGTGAGGAGAATGATGGAGAGGGACTGTGATATGGCCATCACTCCTGTGGGGGGAGTGATTTTTCACTTTTCCTCTCACTGTCTCTGTCTCTCTCTCTCTGGTGAGTGCATATACCCGAAGGCTAAAACCTCTGAAAAGAAAAGAAAATAGTACTCTCTGGGATCAGTGGATGGTGTAATGGTTATGTTGTTGGACTCAGTTCACCATGGTTCGAGTCCTAGACTTGGCAGCTTAAAAAACATGCCAGGAGCATGTGTGTGCAATGCCCAAAATCCAGAGAAGAGAATGGAGTAGAAGGGATTATGGCATGACCATCCCCTCTGGGAGATAATTTCTTTTTGTCTCTGTCTCTCTGGAGAGCTCACATGCCCTATAGCAAAAAAAAAAAAAAAAAACTTTAAAAAAATAGTAATCTCCTACTATTTCTGCTGACTCAGTCTGTAGTAAAATATGTGAAATCCAGCAACAGACTAAGGAGCACAAGAGTCGTGGAGCTATTCCATTCCCAAGCCTTTAGTTATCTGAAGCTAGCAACAGTCTCTAACTCTATTCAGCAGGCATTTTCAGACAGAGATGGGGAATTTTAATGGTCCTGTAGTTGGAGAAAAGAGAATAGGCATCAAGTCTGGAGGGATTATCATCTATTTAGAAGTGATTTGCAGAGCTAGTATTTCAGGAAAGATGAAACATTTTCAATTAAATGAGTAAAGCTCTCTACTTGTAAGACATGCTTAAGGTTAAGAATCCCTAGAGAACATAATCCAAATATATAACTATGAAGGGAAACTGGGAAAATCCCAGAGATTCCAGTGTCCAAGCCATGCATATTTGAGTGTGATTTACAGGGTATAAGTCTCTGCTCACTACTGGTATAGGCTATGTTTCAAAAGAGGAAAAAAAAGTGATGTTTGTCAAGGGGCTCACTTTCAAGGTCAATACCTTAGACACAACAGTAAATAATGTACTAGTGGAAGGTAATAGAGTATAATATGGACTGTGGAATTTTAGATTTATTGGGTTCAAACCCCCGTTCTATCACAAACTAGCAGTTTAACCATGGACAAAAATAAATTAATTAAATAAATAAATAAACCTAATAATTTCTTAGTGGTTAAATGAATATAATAACAGATTCCTTGCACAATTCCTGGCACGTAGTACTCAGTAAATTTAATTATAATTAAACACTGATGCCTTGTGATATAAGTTTCTAAATACTTCAAAAATCTCAAGAAAGTTGAGGTTAACAAAGACTAAAGAAGTCAGGAATAGCTTCCTGGGGTACTCAGAACTTAAGCTGAACATTGAAATGATTTATATTTTATCTTCTTTCATGACTCAGTAGAGTTACATAAAATGAATTAGAATAACAATGTTCATTGTGATATTGCTATGTAACAGATACATGCATTGCACTAATTAGCTTACCTCTTTGAATATACAAAACAATGGTATACATTATACAGTGGAAGAAACTGTAGATCAGATCAATTAGGAGGCACAACTCATAAGCAAAGGAAATTATATTCAGATTTAGGTCAATCTGACTATAAATCCTGTAGGTAGAATCACTATATTATATTGACTGTCAAGAAAATAACAAGTAATCCAGAAAATCAGATTAAAAATACATTGGCATCAGGTCTAAAAAAAAATAATTTTAAACAGATGATTGTGGGAGAAAGGGAGAAAGTTTAGAAGTTTCTCTCCAATTTCTGCAGAAAAAATTAAGTCAGAAATATGTTTTCTCCTTTAAGAATGAAAATTTGGCACAGCTGCTATGATGCATATTGGAAGATGCTGCTTTTAGGCACTCTGAGGCCACATGGAATGCCCAGGTTCAATTCTTGGCCCACCTAAAATGCTGAGTGCAGTGGTACATACCAGTAGTCCCAGCTACTCAAGAGGCTGAGGGAGGAGAATAGTAAAATACTAAGGAAAACAAAAACAAACAAAAGCAGAAGAAATAAATAAAAGAAAGAAAAAGAAATACATACATTAACACAGTGCTTACCAGTTACATTTCAAAAGCTAATGAGAAACTTTTAGCCTAATGTACTCTTTGCTTTGAAGGAACTTACTATATTTTTCTGACACCCAAGAAAAAAATATGAATTTCGAGATGACATAACTTGTTTTCCTACAATACATGTTTTGTCTTATACTAATTTTGAATTTTGGGAAACATTGTTCATATAAATACATAAGCCATAAAACAGAGGTCATCCTGAAAAATTAATATTTCTTTTTCTTTTTCTTCTTTTTTTCTCTTTTTTTACATTTGATTACTGTACATCTTTATATTTCCTGAAATAATTTTAAATCGATTAAGTTGAATACAAATGTTTTAGGAATGAGTTTATTAAGATTTTCTCAAAATTCACTTTGGTAAAAAATTTTCAAAAGCTTAACCTTCCATTATGGCATTAAGAGAGCTATCACACCTCCAACTGCAAGTTTTTTGTTTCTTTGTTTATTTTTTAACATAGACTGTACTGTTTATTTTCCTTTTTTATTTATGAATTTTTATTTTACTGAGAGATTTTTGCCTTAGGGCACATGCTTTCTTCAGAGAGAGAGAGAGAGAGAGGGAGAGAGAGAGAAAGAGAGAGAGAAACAAATCACCCCTAAGGGAGGATGGCTACACCACAATCCATTCTCCTCCAGGGATCTAGGACATGCAAACAAGCACACCCAGCGTGATTTTCAAGCCACCGTGTCTGGGGCTTGAACCTCTGTCAGTCATGTGGGAGTCCATCATCTGCTGGCCTCCAAATTTTTATTTTTATAAAGTAAAAATTACAGAATATTGTTTCACAGAGAAATGTACGTCCCTTTGTTAAATGTTTCTTCCCTTTTTCTGTCCTATCCACCCTGTCCTGCTCATTTTCTACTACCCTCTCTCTATCACTTACTCCCCTCTGTTACAGTCTCTGGTATCTACATTTATCCCCTCTGCTATCATTTCTTCAGATCTAATTTCTGCCAGGTAGTGCAGGCATTCAGTTCATATTGAGTGGGGAGATACAGTTTGTATCTTTCAAAGTCTGGCTCACTTCGCTTAACATGAAGTCTTCTAGATTACTCCAC